GGTCGAGTCGCAAGTACCGTAAACAAACCCAAGTAATTAAGGGAGTCGTGGCACGAGGGCTGTGATTGGTCGAGAGGCTGTTAGCGTTAAGTGGTGGCGTCGGAATGTCTGATGAGGGGAACAGGTGCGGGCTGGCAGGAAACGGCCCGCGAGCCACGTGGCAATTAATTAAGGCTAATGCGAGAAGGGATAAAAGGCGAGGTGGTTTGAACGGAGTGGAGTTGCTGTTGGAGAATGGCGGTTGGAGAGTTGCTGCTGGGAAGTTGTTGCTGGGCAGTTGTTGGCGAGAGGTGAAGAGATACGGAGAAGACAGCTGGAAATGTTAGGGAAGAATAGATAGAGAGCCGGACCCCAAAGACAGTAAATAGCGATAGGGAGAGTCAGCGTTAGCGGAGATAGAGTCACTGTGTGTGAATAGATGGAAGTCACTGCGTGTGAAGAGATAGCGGCGATACTGTGTGTGAGGAGATAGACGACGAACCACTGTGTGTGGAAGAGATAGAAGATGAACCACTGTGTGTGGAAGGGAAGACACTGTGTGTGAACAGATAGGCGAAGAAACACTGTGTGGAAGGGGATACACGGACGATGCTGAAGTAAATCGGAGTGTCCGAGTTGGCGGAGCACGGAGAGAATTACTGTGTGTACGGAACGATGGAATAAAAGTGATGGTGGAAAAAGAGACGGTTGTCGTCCGAGTGAATTCACGGCACTACACAAGTATTCTCGCTTTAACATTTACTGATTATGTATTCGTTTTTTTTATGTCAGGTCTCCAAATTCAAATCTCAACGCAGAATACAGTTCTTATAAATAAGATTATTATGCATGGACTCGGGTAAGAAACACGCAACCACTTCTGTGTTAAGCAATTTTATTCAAAACAAAACCTTAACTCTATACTATGTGAACTCTCAGGCTTGGAATTATCAACACGGTACCACCGGGGAATTCCCTCAGGTCGCAGCACATTTAACATCAAGGATTGCGTTGTTTCACTTTGGCAACTGCACATATGATTAATTCCACCGCGTATCACGAGCTTGGTTGGTAATGGGAGAGTCTTAACCCGTCATGCGCGATATTCTAAACAAAACCTTAACACTGCTAATATGCGAATTATTATGCTTGAATTGTCAACACAGTACTCTAGGCGTTGTTCCCCTCATTGACTATACATTCCACCCTCAATAATCACGTTAAGTGGGTAGCAGATCAATTGATTACTTCAGAGTACCACGAGCATACACGGCAAATACGAATAAAAAGTCCTTAAAATTAATCCGACGACATTCATGCGAAAGGCGATCAAAGCAATTATTATACCCTAAAGGCACAAATATACGTCAATAGATTCATCGGCAAGGTTATATAATGAACGAGATGTTTTGGTATAAGGTGTGCAGTGGTACGTGCCCTGCCATGGGATATTAATTAATTAGTGGACAAGATTGTATGATGAGGAACCGGTTTAACACGATATTCTCCCGGTGAGCGTATAGAATCGTAGCAAAGGTTTCAAAAGTTTAATTGTATCGATTAATCTATTGGTAATCTATGCGGTTGGAAGTAAAATCACAAAAATATTACTGTACTTATTAAAACGACGTATTCTCATCACTCGGTGAGCCGAGATGCCTTCACGGCCAGCTGATGGGTCAGGTACTTGATAATTAGGCTTCTTAATAATGATTCGTGTATGTTTTGAGTGGTATGAATTTGTGTTGAGTGGGCAAGTGTTTTTTTTGCGTCAAGAAGACGCCAGGTGATGCGGTGGCAGTGTGAGTATCATACGTATAGCTGGATTCCTTCGTTCACAATAGCCGTAGTTCGGCCCACAACTGGTTGACGGGTTGACGCGGTGGTCGCCGTTGGCGCAAGGATCCGTCGGCAGATGGTGCCCGCAGCTCGTCCGCTGCTGTTGACGCTCTTGATTGGCGTCGCTTGGTGGCGTTTGGCTGTTTCCGCCCTCTGGTGGCTGATGCTGGAACTCTCGTCAGCTTGGCTAGAACTGCAGTGACCCTTGTGGGTCGAGGTTCAGAGCGGGAATGCTTTTCGAGCGATACTTCTTCTTCTGATGGTGCCGAGTTCACACAGCGTAGCATGTCGCTGAACAGCGAGCCCCGCCATTCTGGGCGAGTTGTTGAGTCTTCTTCTGCGTCGGTGGTGGCTGATATCTTCTGATGGTCGCTGTCTTCTGCCGCTGGTCGCTGATCATTCAATGCTGGCGCATCTCTCTGTTATGCCAAAATTTCTCCCTTTGGCTCCGCCTTCTAAAAAGGGGCGGACCTCCCTTTGATCTCGCGGTGTGTTGTGGGGGTTGGAGTGTGCGTGTCCGTGTGTGTGCATGTGTAATTTATTGCATGGTTCTGTTCGTCGCCTTCCTCAAGCCATAAAAAAACATGAAAAGGACCCAGATGCTTCAGATTGTCCCGAAGGCGTCCCTTTGTCTGCCTTATACAATCTGGGGGGAGGGGGCGGGCCATCCCGTCCGGTCGAGCCCTCCCGGTGTGACATTTCCCAACGCACAAAGGGTGTGTTGAGGTTTTAAAAGTTAACATTTATTTTATCATAGTTTGGTACCGTACCACTTGCAGTTATGATTCTGTATGTTACTCAAGGTATGTTGTAGTAGCCTTCCATCGTGGTATTTGATTTTGATTTTCAAGAGATGCTCTCTCGAGCGTATGTAAATTCTTATCACGTGCTGCTGGAACACAAAGGTGGCCAGGAGTCCCTCTTTCTCTGGCTGGCCCTCGGTTTAACACTGCACAAATATTATTTGGGCTCACGTTTCCCAAGATTTGTGATTTAACACCGTCATCACGACGCACTTCCCGGGTTTCATTAATTTTCGTCTCCCCGTCTGTATACAGGGATCCGTGTTGTTATGATGGAGTTATCATTTTTTTGGTGTCCTGAGTTTAAGAGGTAAGTTTCTTGACTGTTTGAATTCATATCCCTTGGTTTATGTACGGTCCTGTAATGGCGAGCTGTAATGTAATTTAAGGTGAATCACGTGAGCATTAATATTATGTATGTGAAGTAATAACCCGCTATGTAGATTGTAGTTTGGTTTTTCTTAGTGAGGGTGTGGATTCTTTATGATGTCGACTCAAGTTCTGAATTTTAACCGTGGCATTAATAGCAAGGAAGGGGAAATAGTTTAGACCTCGCCGTCATTGCGTCTCATTGTCTAGGATTTCCAAGATGGAGCCCTTGGCGCCTGGAATTCCCCTCGAGAAATTCCCCTCCCCCCCCGTCTCTTTTTCTTCTTTGATTTGGTTTATTGCTCTTTATGGTTTATCTCCGAGCGGCCTGTTGTGTGTGAGGGGAGGGGGGGTCCGTATCCCCCCTTTTGCCCCGGAATGTATTGTTTAATGGCCTTTTACGACCTCCAGCTGCCTGGCTCCTGGGTGTTGTTTTTTGTCGGTTTGCGGGGTGTTTATTTATTTATTTAAAAAATATCGGCAAATATTATTAGTATTAATTTTGGAAAAATGCCTATATATCCAACAGCCCTCTGTTTGTAGAAAGTTCCATTCCAAGTGAAGTATGTATTGGTTAAGCAGTGTCTCACCAGGGGGGGGGGTACCTCAGTGTTTAGTCCTTGATGAACCAAGTCTTCAATGATTGCGATGGTGTCAGATACAGGAACCTTGGTGAATAAGGAAACTACATCAAAACTGACAAGCAGGTCGTCTGGGGACAGGGAAATACCACTGATTGTCGATACCAGGTGAGTAGAGTTTTGTACCGCAGAGGTGTTTTTTTCCAGTGAAAGGCCACAGGATTCAGACAGAAAACAAGCCAGTTTGTAGGTGGGGGAGTTGATAGTAGAGACGATGGGACGAAGGGGTGTATCTACTTTATGTATTTTTGGTAAGCCGTATAATCTTGGTGGCCTGGCAACAGAAGGTTTCAACGAAAACTGTTTGGTTTGATCAATTAAGCATAATTATCATAACTGTATGCATCAGCATAAGCGCATACAATTGCATAATTAGCATAATTTATGCGCATATTTACAGCAAATAACATAATTTCGGATAATTACGAATATTTTCAAATTTACTTTTTTTCCATTACATTTTAAATACACGGCATATACAACACCACGCTACGGCTGACATTCTCTCGCTGTCTTAACGGGAGCCCGCACAGCGTGGTGCCACTGCGCTGAACTAGCGCTCACCCAAGCCCCCACTAGGGCTGGTACTACACCCCTTTTCGTGGTGTACACACAACAGTATACATCCCGCCGTGGCCTCGCAAGCCCGGCACCACACAGTGACATTCACAGTCACTACAAATGTATTGGGGAACAGACTATACCTGGTGATTTAATATACAGTACTTGTCAAAAAAATGGATTAATTTTGTTTCCCAATATTCTGTATAATGTAATGAATTCATAAATGTGAGCAATCCTGGTTAATCTTGACATTTTTGTGAGATTTAGACAATTGACAAATCACAAGTCGTTGCTAACTAAACTTTATATTTCATGAATGCTAAACAAAACTTCAGTCAACATTGACTGATTCACGTATTTTCATTATTTGGTCGTATTCCTAGCTCTGATCCAAAATGAAATTGTATTCATTTACACCAATTTGTTTTTCAAACTTAATTCGTTATAAGTTTATGTTTGAATGAACACCATAGAGTTCAGAAGATCGTGTCTTCACGTATATTTCTGGAACGAACGGGGTTTTTCTGTTCAATCCTGGAATGTGACGCATCACCGGGACAGATTAAACGTTCTGGTACTATTCCTGTGGAATGTGTGCTGCTACCTTAACCTACGATATACTGTACAATACCGAACATTCATTATTTATTTTGTCAAATATAAAATGTACACGGGAAATACATGGGCATGACATTATTCCAGACAACACCGACGGCCCCCACTGCACATCAACAGCGCAACAGTTGAAATCTCGTCGCCAACTTAGCAACTCGGCATCCACATCGACACCAGCCTGCCACGGGCCATGGACGCCGAGGAGTACAAAGTTCGTGGTGAGTTGCTTTCTCTAAATAAGCATGGCACCAATTAGCCAAACTTAAGCTGTGGTATTTCCCAAACGTGTAACAAGTTGCTTGAGCTTTTTCTCTCCATGCTTCGATGTCCTCTATAACAGTTTGGAATCTATCGAGACCAAAAGTGTATTTTCTAGGGGCAAAACAATGGCAGTGCAGCAAAAAAAGCATTTAAGGTACAACACGGGCATAAGTATTGTCAAGTTTACAATACGTATATGATTTACATGGAAGTTGATGTAATATTTTATGGTGATTATTGTACATGGTTATACAGTACTTTTAACGATGTATAGTGGTTGGAAATGTGATGCATAAAATATGCTTGGACTTATGGGTGCATAAAATATCTAATTGTTAACCTGTCAGCTATCCTGTAATGTAAGGTTTACATCCACAACTTGGAAAGAGTCTATCATCACGTGAGGGTTAACATTTGGAAAGAGAGAAATGGGAAAGCATGAAGAAATACAGGCACACGGGTAAGAATTAAAAAATAACCACTATTGCATGTATGTTGAACTTCTTTAGCACTATACGTGCTAATCGGAGGTGCTCATTTACAGTGGCAATTAAGTACACTCTTGTACAACCCCGCATATCCGACAACCATCAGGAGTCATAATATGCAACTGATGCCACAATCCTCCGGATTGCATCAACACCTGCATAGGTATGTAGCCATTAAATGGCTCAACGTTGGCCCAACGTTGACAAATTTTCTGGGTTTTGAGCACCTATTGTGGTCGGTTCAAGTACAGTTACAAGGCAGATTTTTAAGTGAACTCCATTAATGAACTGGAGAGTTATATTAATGAACGGAACTCCATTAATGAACCACTGTACAGTACTTTATTTGTTCTCAAGATTTACTACAGAGGTCGTTGTGCTCGCTTCTCAATCTATGTTCTCTGTCAACGTTATAGATACGTCATTTTCCCCGAGATATGTTCGAACTAATGTATTGCATCGTGGCCTGATTGTAGATAATTCAGCAAAGTTATGTTGCAGGATGACGGCAAATACATGAAGTGCCCCATTATTTTAAACGATATATACTTATTTACATTATTGTCATATATGCAATAAATTACGCTCTTTCACCGACGCGCATTTTTATTACGAGCATTACAAATGTGTTATGTGTTTGTATTATATTATAAGAGAGCATACTGTGCTGTATAATGCTTGTGAATTACAGTACAGTATAGGTTATACTGGTAGGAACTTCCTGGTTGCACCAGCCCACAGGGGATTATTGTGTCTGTCCGCCGTCCATCCAAAAATGGGAGGGGTGGGGCTGGGTGGAGAGGGGAGGGTGGGGAGGGGAGGGGAGGGTGGGGAGGGGCTGGGTGGGGAGGGTGGGGAGGGGCTGGGTGGGGAGGGTGGGGCTGGGTGGGGGGTGGGAGGGGTGGGGCTGGGTGGGGAGGGGCTGGTCACCCCGTGGTGCCCTTATGAAAGTCAACGTTTAACCTACTCACGCCGGCTTGTGCCCGCCCTCACAGTCGCGCATATTTGCGGAATAAATCACGCCGCCGTTGACCCAGGCCATTGACCGAGCAACCCAACGTTCCTACCAGCTCCCTCCACAGGAATGTGTTCAGTTTCAATGGTAACCAGGATAGCAAAGTGTATTATAGTAATTAATTATCTCAAGAGTCATGCTTAAAGGCAACGCTCAAATATGCTTTACATATAGAGGGCGTGCTTGGACACACTGAGGTGATGTAACAGATTATAAGATTTACTTCAGAGATTATAATCTGTTACATAATTATTTTGTTGCTATACATGTCCACGTGAAAAGCCACTTCCTTTAGCTATTATTTTTGGCAAGGTCACTTCTGAAGTAGAAGATAATAGATCAGTGGGCTTTACCTGGTAATATTTTTTTTTAGTTGCATTTGTATATTATTTAACTAATTTGTTTATCTCTTCTATATTTTTAACTCCATTAGTGTTTTTGTATTGTTTGTTGTTGTTACATTCTGACCCACCCCTGCTAGAAATCTGTGACAAATAGCTTTATAGCTCAACAGATTCCCAAAGTATAAATACGTACATATTCTGATTCTGATGTAGAGGTCACGCAAGAGACAGGGGATCACACCCATGAAAATAGTTAAAGACGCAAAAAATGGAATTTGGAGAAAAACCCAAAAGATACATAATGGCGAGGACTGAGAGGAGAGGACTCGGGGAAGAGGAGGCTAGAAGTCAACTACGAGTGTATGTGCCTTACAAGTGTTCTCTTGAAACTCACTTCTTCTCCATGGCCTATTCCGAACCTCTTCCTTGCCCTCACCTCTCCACTCCTTCCTGTCCCTCGCCTGCCCTTTCGTGACCTCCAAGTGCCTCCTGTTACGGTCACTCATTCCTCGGCCCTTGCACACCTTTGCCAATCGAAATTACTCTATTTTGTTACTTCTTTTAAACTATGTAAAGCGCATTGAGGTAAGGCGTTCTATAAATATATGAAAGTAAAAAAAAAGTGTTTCAATGCACACACTTTTATTTGCACTCAAAAGTAGAAAATTATTTCTTGTCACCCCAGAAATAGTCAAATTTAATGTGCTGAATAAAAGTAGGTGGCTTGCATAACGAAAATTAAACATATTGATAGGAGTCTGCATCAAAGATCAAATTCCTCGTGTCCTGTCCATATTCCAACGCTGCTCCACCTTTCCAGCTGATGCTATGATTGGTGAATCCAATCGGATGCTTACCTGAAACCGTATTCCCACCACCATCCATCCTAGAAGAATTCCCTCATCAAGACACTGCACCATAGAACCCAATGCATCTCCGACCAGGAACACATTGCCAGTGAACTCAAGCATGTACACCAAGCTCTTAAGGCTAATGGTTACTCCGACTACACAATCCACAAAGCTATCACTCCAACCATGAAGAAGGACCCTCTTTAAGGAGCCATTCAAAACCATCGCTTTACCTGACATTTGGGGGGATCACAAAAAAGATCTCCAAAATCTTGAATAAACACAAGATCCAGGTCCGATTCAACACATTACATAAAATCCGTGATCTGGTTCCATCTGTAAAAGATGTGATTCCGGACATACATTACCCTGGCATCTACAAACTAAGTTGCTTCTGTGGTAGTAGTTACATTGGAGAAACCAAACGACATGTCTTGGACCGCATTCGTGAACACAAAGCAGACCTAAAACATGGTAGGACCAACACCTCGGCCGTGGCAGATCACTGTTATTATTCAGTAGGCTCACACGACATTTACTTGTCCAAGACAGAGGTGTTCTGCAAGCCATCTGGCTACCATGAGAGATTCGTTCATGAGGCTATCCACATATACAAACACAGAGCCAATTTCAACCGAGAAAATGAATTCTGGCTTAGCAATCATTGGAAGGATTTTATAAACCATTTAGGGTCTTAATTGATTGTTCACGCTTGCGGTGGCTTTCAAACCGCATCCATTCTTTTCGTCTCTCCCCTCCTCTTTTCCGAACATAGATGGACTCATCCATCTGAATAACTGCAAAATCGCTCTCCGTGGTGCTAACGTTAAAAAAACGCCACTTTTTCAAATTTTTTGCTGTGGTTTTCACACCTGATGATAATTGCTTGTGTTGCAGTCGAAACGTCGTGAAAATCTTATTGTTTTATATTTTTATTATTGTATTGTTTCCCTTCTACGTGACTTTACCGAAAGAACCAAGAATATGAATCCCTGTGGTCACGAAAGCTTTAAATCAAAATTGAAATCCAGAGCTGTTAAGGACTGTTGTTCAGGCTTAGCAACTATGGTCACTTACATGATTTTATTCAAACGTTGTACAGAGAAGCAGCATCTTGCGACAGAGAAGCACCGAGATTCAGATGCAGCTTTGATTCAGTAAATGGTCACATGCAAGTACTGCATTGTTTCTGCACAGGTAAGGCGATGGTGGACTACATCGCCGCGTATCTAACTGGGCTACGTGACCGGCCTGTGAAGCCATCTGTACGGCCCGGCTATCTGCGTCCCCTGCTGCCCCCTGGCCCCCCGCAGCAAGGAGAGCCCTGGGAGAGAATCTTTGAGGATGTGGAGCAGCTCATCATGCCTGGGGTAAGGCACCCAGCCAGAGAAACATGAATAAGATAGGATCAAGCTAGGATCATGCCTTACAAGATGTGGTGTAACCTGAAAACACGTCGGAGCACTATTTAATTTCTGCTTTATTAATGCAAGTTGTGGCATGCATGCAGATTGTGCACTGGCAGAGCCCACACATGCATGGATATTTCCCGGCACTCAACTCGTACCCATCGCTTCTTGGTGACATGCTGGCGTCTGGAATGAATTGTGTCGGCTTCACATGGGTAAGTCTATGTGTAAAAGTGCCGTATTTGCATAGCGACAGCAACGACCATTCACCACTAAGTGGCGGTGACGTCATCACACAGCGCTTGTGCCAGGCTAGGTGCGTACATATAAAACAGATCGATGGAAACTATCAAAAGTCATGTGGGAACTCTTTGAGATATGCATCGTATTAATAATAAACGTTTTTGGGTTAGATCGCGTTATTTATAAATGTGTCGTAACCCTCCACCCCCCGACACGGCCAATCAGCAGAAAAGTGTCACGTTGACAAAAGACAATTAGTTCACTACTTTAGCCCACCGGTGTGTTGAAGAGTGAATCCACAACATTTACAATTTTTGAATACGACGTTTCGCTGGTAATTACATCCAGCATCATCGGGCAATTCGCCAGAATGGTAAAGCCCTCACTTGCTCCCGGTCTTAAATATAGCAGGGTGACATCATCATTTAACTCATTCAGGTGCAGTGATTTGAGGCGGAGGGGGAGTATTGTAATTATATAATAGATTAGTAATCAATCAATTGTTATGATTAGTAATGAGTTGTAGATTAGTAATTGCATTTTAGTTAAATGAAGACGTTTGGAAACGTTTTGAGAAAACAAGATGCAAGGGTAACAATACAAATGTACAAATTTAACTAAAGTTTGAAAACATGTGCTAAATAATTTAAATAGTTTATTACACGATCATTACAGCAAATTAAGTATTTACATTTTATATAAAATCGCGTAATGTTGAAGAAAACGTGTTAATGCATATTTTAAGATATGTAGGTAAAAATAGATATTCAGTGAATAGGGGGGCTCAGGGAAGATCGGATATTGCTTTCCACGAATGTTAAACATTGCCAGACTTAATCTGGCCCAAAAAATATTCTAATTTTTTTTAATTTACAGAATTAAAAAACGCGTGCAAGAAACATTTTTTTTACAAATTAAATGTAAATTTTATTTGCAAGCTGAGATTGTAGGTAGGTTATTTGATTCAAGTAAAATTCCTTGATTTATTGGTTATTGAGCATCTCCAAAACTATTATTAAAACTATGGTAATAAGGGGACCGTTTGTGTTTTGTAACTGTTGATGCGTGATCTGGGCCAGGCATCTAACCCGGCCTCCACGGAGCTGCAGATAGTGATGACGGACTGGCTGGTGGACATGCTGTCCCTCCCTGACACCTTTCGACATGATCACCCAGACGGATGTGGAGGTGGAGTCATACAGGTCCTCCATCTATATCATCGTCATATTTGCAACACTTTGGTTTACAAAGCAGTACATTTTAAATCTAAGTAAATCTAAAACGATAAACAGATGAACATAATAGGCAAGAAAGATTAGAAGCAAACATTTAAGGGGTGGAGAGTGGAGACAGACAGGAGAATTGAGTTGGAAGTGATAAGTTTAAGAAGAGATTTGAATGCTGGAAGGGGCCAGTTGATATAAATGAGTGATAGCAATTGTCATATTAACCGCAATCTAATAGTGACATACTTTCACATTTGTTCATCAGGGTGCATGTGCAGCACAGTTGCCTCTAAGGTCAGAGTGGACCATTTTTTTAAACTTTTGATCAATTATAATTATTAATGGATCAATTTGTTGCACTTATCCCAAAAATGTGTGGGTGTGTACTTGCGTTTTTGTCGAACAGAGCTCAGTGAGCGAATCCACCATGCTGGCCCTTCTGGCGGCACGGACACGCGCTCTTACACAGTTACGCGGCGATGTGAGCCAGGACTTTGGCAATGATGCACTCCTCAACTCACGACTAGTGGGGTACACCTCAGACCAGGTGTGCCAGTCTACACTCTCTAATGCCCGTGCCCACCGTATGTTTTAAAATAGATTTTTTTTTCCCCCACAAATTGTAATTTTAATAGAAGAATAATGAGCATTATCGTGCGCTTTTGATGAATGATGCTTCAATCAGAGCGTGTGGAAAATGCTCCCTGCTTCTACTTATTTTCGTAACTTTTCCCTCTCTAAACTTAAACCTAATCGCATCTCCGATTAGCATGTTTGGCTACGGACGGTGCCAAAGACGTTCAACATACATCCATACATAATTAAAGAGTACGAATGAAGGTGAATTCTGACTCCCGCCAGGCTCACTCGTCGGTGCTGAAGGCGAGCCTCATGTCGCTGGTGAGGGTGCGCTCACTGCCCACGGACTTGGAGTTCTCGCTGCGTGGGGAGACGCTCCGACGCGCCGTGGATGAGGACAGAGCACAGGGCCTCGTCCCGTTCTTCGTGAGTTACTTAACTCCAGGCGTGAATTTGTTTATCGATGCAATGTGCACCAACATTTATGATTACAGTACTGTACTTGATTGGATTACCCAGAAAAAAAAGCCCATCATTGAGTGTCTGGGGTCATTGAGACAATTTGTTTTTAGATAATTTTCATATGTTGATGGGATACTGGATCATCTAAGAGCCGACACATGCAAGGAAAAACACTGAAATTCCACACATATGTCAGAAACCTATATGTTGTACAGTACTGTTTGGCTGCCTAGAAGTTACTGAATTACTCAGAATGGTGTTTGTATTCTATTGAGATTCTGCACCACGTGCTTGAATGTTTGTTCACACAGTAGTGAACAAACATTCAAGAACACAGCAGATAATATTGATTGTTTGAAGGATTCTTAACTTTTAAGCTTCACACACATAGCAACTGTTACTTATCAACATAACTTGATGATATTCACGTGCTCTGGAAAACCCATTCATTCAGTCATGCTGCAAGAAAGTGCCTTGCAACGCAACCAGGCCACAATATGAACATGACAAGGATGCAACAACTTCCACATTAATTAAAATGTTGGCTTTGGTATGGTTCAATTAGATGTGGTACCCTGTGTCACTTGTAAGGAACAAAACACATTATGGGGGTGTAATTTCCATGCTAATTAGTAATGTCAGCTGACAGGATATATGCAACAGAGCTACTCAATTTGTTTTATTGTTTCCACGAACAGTATGGCTCAGATGATAGCTCTTTTGGTAAAATAACTACGTGCGTATAATGCTTTCGTGCTCTCACCACCGTGCATCTTGTGCGTGTGTATAGGTGTGCGCAACCCTTGGCACAACAGGCGTGTGCGCCTTTGACAACATGGCTGAACTGGGCCCAATCTGTGAGATGTGGTCTTTGAATTTCTCTTATTCCTAACACCCGAAGTTCATAACCGTTCTAATCGCACCTCCGATTATCACGGTTGGCTACGTACGGTGCGAAAGAAGTTCAACATACATACACACATAAACTTAAGTCCTTACCCATGACATTTAAAAGCAGGAGCAAAATGTTTGCTTACTGTAACTCATTTGTTTAGACCTGGTTTAGGAAACCTTTTACCAGCAAGAGCCCAACATCAGGGTGAAACACGATTATTAGCTTTCTTGCGATACACTCAGGCCGCCAGGAGGGGCTCTGGCTGCACGTGGACGCGGCGTACGCGGGCACTGCTTTCCTGTGTCCCGAGCTGCGTGACCCCCTGCGCGGGGTCGAGTTTGCCGACTCGTTCGTGGTCAACCCGGGCAAGTGGATGATGGTCAACCTGGACTGCGTCGTATTTTGGTGAGGCCTCCGTGAATCGTGCAACATACCATTTGGACAAGATCGTGTTGGCCTTGTTGCACGAAACACAAGCTCTTAAGGTTTGTTTGTTTATTTGGATTACATTTTTCAATTCTCAATATCAGATATTTATTTGACCTGGTAATCAATCATATATACCTGTTTAATATGCTTCGATTTCCTGTTTTCTCGGAAGTTAAGTGTCAAAGAGTGCCGTGACAGCATTCCCACCCCACTGGCAACCGACTGATCGGTTTCATGAATGCCACAAGGGCATTGAATTCAAGAGATCCCACCCACTTCCACCTCTTGAACCAACTTTCACAGTTAAACTACGTAATCGCATGCCTCTTATTGGCCAGCCTGCCACACTTGACTGCACGCTAAGAGCCCGACTCACTGTGCCAGGGTGGCGGACAAGCGGAGTCTGCAGAGCACGTTCTGCGTGGAGCCGCACTACTTGCAGCACGAACACTCCGGTTCGGTCACAGACTTCATGGTGGGTGAATCTGCTGCACTACACATGTTTTGTTCGTAAAATGGCATGCATTCGTGGAAGAGAGCAGTTTATGCTCTATTACATTATGTCTAGGCGTACCAAGCCAACAGCTCTGATATTCTTGGTGCAAAGAGTATGATCGTCTTTATACAATCTTAAGTAATTTCACAAACAGACCCGAACATTTTATGTGGGTATATATGCTCTGAGAACACAGCAGATAACATCAAAAAGCACCATCTTGTCAAGATGTCAATAAAATTAGTTAATCTTGTTCTCTCTCTTTAAAAAGCATAGTTTAGCTCAGCAATTGATCTTAATATGAAAGTCTAGTCTGATGTATTTAACAGCGGTTCCATTGTATTTAACATGTTTCTCTGCATTCTGTAAAAAATAACACAGATAGAATGTATTTTTTGCTGTAACCAGTGACACTCAAGCTGTTATAATTTTACTTAGATATGTGGGAACGTTGTGGAAGTCGGGGGGAGAGGGGAGGTGGACATGGGGGCCCATATCAAGTAGCCAAGGCAGCCAATGAGCACTATTAAATGTGGGGGGCTCATATTTTCACCCACTATGATTCAGCAACTGTCCTCATGCCAAGTACAGTACATGATTGTGCTGTGAGATTTGTGTTAATGATCGGGGTGGTGTTTTCGTGCAGCACTGGCAGATCCCGCTGACTGTGCGTTTCCGCTCGCTCAAGCTGTGGTTTGTGATTCGCTCGTTCGGGCTGGACGGCCTGCAGGAGCACGTGCGCAGGGTGAGGGTGTTAGGGCTGCTGCCCCTCGACTCCTCGTTCTCCTGTGCCCCCCCCCCCCGCTCTCCCCTGCTCCCCCCCTCGCTGCTGCTCCTCGCAGAAGCATGATTTAAATAGCTGTACTAACCAACTTGCAGATACGCCGCGGTGCCCGTCTCGTACACGCCAACCACGAGTCGCGCAACAGCGAGAGTGCCCCGCGTACCGAACACGCGGGGCACCACAACGCACGGGCTCACAGTTCACGTGCACGGCGAAGGCGCACGCGCGGGCAAAATATGCGCTCGTGCACAAGCCTAAGACACCACACAACGCACAGGCTCACCACACCACGTACTCCCCTCCCTCCCCGTACTCACAGAGACAATACGACACGGGTTAGGATCTACTGGTGGTTTATTCTCTTTTTAATTAGGGTTAATCTACCCGTGTCAGTGTGGACCAACAGGACAGATCTAACCTATCTCTCTACGGTCTGATACTCAAGTGGCCTGTCCTCTTTCTCTCTCTCAGGATTTCTCCCCTTGCCTTACCTCTCCTCTTCGTACTTACGATCCGACCTCGTGGTGTTGGAGGTCGCGGAAAGATAATGCTGCCCGTGGCTTTTGCTGGGAAACTGAATCCGGCTGCTCTCTGACCCGTCTCACGGACGTTCGAGAAGCAGGGAGATGACGACTCCTCGATTCCTCTCTCCAGTTGATCCCCAGCGAAAAGAGACCTTTATTCCCAATCTCACTCCCTTTTATGCCCCCACTTTCAGCCCAAGCGCCGCTAATCCGCTGGCCCCTGGCCAATCGGGTTATCCCCCCCTCTCCGACGTCCTGCCCCCCATTGTTTAACCGAGTGCACGACCGCATCATAGGCATCAACCTGCACCGCCCCGCTCCCCACCTGCCTGCTGGTCCGCGTGTCCTTTTTGGCTTTCTTCATTGCGGTTCTCATTGAGCCCGCCGTGGTGATGCGATTTTAAGTCAATCCACGGCGCCGCAGTGCCAATCGGCCTGGGGGGGGGCCTGCCAATTCCCTGGCCCTGAGAAACCGTGGAGCACCCCCACGAGGGGGGGGGCCCTCGGGTGAAAACTCAGGGGCAGGTGACCTCCCCACGAGGCCCTACGTGAGTGCGTGTGTGTATGTTTATGTGGGGGGTGATGGGGGGGAGCGCTGTGACGGGAGCCGGGTGGCTCCTCGGCTGCAGCAGCACAGCGACGGCCCCAGTCCCGGCGGAGCGACTTCGCTGTCGTGGCATCACAAGGGCCTCGTGTGACACGCGCTCCTAGTCACTGACACTCAGGACAGCTGAAACCAATGATAATATTTCCTGATACTAATTGTAGAAGGGGTATATCAATGTTGTATGTTTTTATACAGACCAATAAACTTGCAAGGTATTTTGAAAGCCTCGTCAGGGAAGACCCCCACTTCGAAATTCCAGCGAAGAGCAACTTGGGACTCGTTGTGTTTCGTCTCCAGGTGAGATTTTACTGCTTTTCCCATGATATTGCAGATGCAGTGGAACGCTTTTAATTATTGGCCTCCACATTAGACTCTCCCCCTGCTTTACTCCTTTTGCTCTGCCCTCAGGTCCTTTCTCTTTTCTATCGCTTATTCTCTTCCACTGCCTCCACTCCCAGTCCCCCGGTCCACTTCCTACTACGACCCTAATTCGTGACCCGGCTCCCACGTCTCATTTTCTCTATGTGCACTTAACCACATCTCTCCCCCAGCCATCCACTGGGCTCCTCAATCAGCTCAACTATCCGGCCACCAGACCTCTGCCCCTACTACTCTTCACCTACCCTCATCCATGTCCACCCATACCACCTATCTTACCACTTCACGCATGTGCCCTATAACCAGCTGCCTCTCATCCATGTTGCACCCATCTGTCACCCTCATTCACCATCACACTCCACATTATTACTCCTTCCCTACCCCTGCAACATCATGCTCCATTCCCAGCCCCTGTCCCTCTATCCCTTCCATCACCTCTCACTGACAGCCACTCCACCCCACCCGTTGCTCCCCTTTTGCCCCTTTGTGTACCGCCGTTCGCTTGCATTGTAAAGTGCCCTGGAAAGGGCCCTAAATAAATCTCAAATATAATTTACTACTATAATGAGCCAAAAATATGTGTCCTGCGCGTGATGTCACTCCATGTTGGCCAGCCCCCTCATTAATAATCATGAACAGGTGACGTCCTCCACATGGACCCCCCCCTCATTAATAATTATGAGCGGGTGACGTCACTCCACATGTAGCACCCCCCTCCCCTCATTAATAATCAAGAGCAGGTGATGTCACTTCACATCGGCCAGCCCCCCTCATTAATAATCATGAACAGGTAACATCTTCCAAATGGACACCTCCCCCTCCATTAATAATAATTAGCGGGTGACGTCACTCCACATGGGGGGCCGAGGCGCCTCCTCCCCCCTCCTCAGCGTCAACTCACAACCCTCATTACAGAGGCAGAACCCTCACGTCATGTGATCTCCGTAACGCTATTGAGACATAGACGTAAAAAAAGGACGTCATGATGAACAAGGGATTATAACCTTTAAATGAAATAAATCTGTGTCACCATGACCTTACAAATTGCTTTTCGCTTGCAAGTTTCAGATTTACTGAAATACACCCGTTCTTGGACAGGCGAAGAGCTAGTAGAATATAATTAGTTACCCAGCCTATGGCTTTGTCACTCTTTGAGTCTTCTTATCCAGTTATACCCTATAGGAATAGGTTTTACCCTTTTAACTGGCACAAAAACTGACACCTTTATTCAAGGTATCATGTTTGCAATAACCACAACACAAGCAGTCAAAATGTAAACAAAAGAGACAACTCTGATAATAATATGCACTGTCCTTGAATTTGATTGGTCCACACCCGAGACGGCTTTTCTTAGAGCCTAGTCTCCATTGGTGTTGGACCAGAAGACGCCAAAAGGCGTACAACTCAAAAACAGTGCACTATCAGAGTATTGAGGGCTCGGGTGAGCATTTACATTATGAGACCTCCTTTGCTAGTAACAAGATATAGAAATAGGTTTTACCCTTTTAACTGGCACAAAAACTGACACCTTTATTTAAGGTATCATGTTTGCAATAACCACAACACAAGCAGTCAAAATGCAAGTTATACCCTTTTACCTTCAGTTGTGTCCTGCAAGGCCGTTAAGCTCATATGAAGAACTCTTCGACTGGTGGAGTGGTAGACTAACACGGTGGATGACAACCAACCGATGTCGATGGCTGCGGGCTAGGAAAGATGTGAGCGTGTCTATGGGACCATTTTGCCAATATCAAAGTATGAAAAATAATTAAAGGTTTTATTGCCAGAAAGGGTAAAAACTATTCTTATTTTTCATCGCTGTTAACCTGTTGAGAGGTACAAAGGTTTAACGGCTGCAATAAAATAGATATTGCTTTATTCAAGCACCTTATTATATTGAGGCTGTTTTCGTTGCAGGGCCCAAACGAACTGACAGAGACACTTCTCAGGCGACTCAATCAGTCGCAGCAGCTGTTTGTGGCGCCAGCCATGGCCGGGGACAAGTTCATCATCCGCTTCGCCATCACATCTCAGTTCACCACAGAGGCGGATGTGCTACGGGACTGGCGGCTCGTGTTGCAGGCTGCTACAGACCTGCTGCAGGGCTCAGCAGCCAAGGACGACGCGAGCGGAATGGAGATCTGCATTGTGGGCAGAGAGGAAGAGACTGCCCTTGACCACCACCAGAGTCAAGGGTGTCTAGAGGTCATGGCACTGGCCAGGAGTTAAGAGCTCTCTCGTGCCAGATGGTGGAAATTTCCCTGATATTGACTAAATAATGTTGTATTTACTTGAGGGCCGGATTTAAAAAGTTTGAGATTTTATGATCACCCCCCCCCCCCCGCCTTCTAGAAGTTTCTAGTTCTGCCTCCATTGATATTTTCAACATTTAATGTGGAAGTGATATAATACAAGTTGTGGGTACTGAATGATGGGGGCATATTGATATATGTTCTTTCATAAACAATTTTAATGTCATTTTATCTGATACATAGTTTTTTAAACTTGAAATACATGTTTGTCATTGGGGAAAAAAGGTAAAGTGATTTCGTTATAAAATATTTTATACCTATCATTGCCTGGACATGCTTTAAAACCTCATGCCCATTGGTCTGTATTCTATGGGTCAGAGGAGAAATTGGTACCACCTATGGTGAAACGTCTTTAGTTATTGAACAGTTATAATATCTAAATCTATCAACTTTTATTTACCAGGTCAAGCCCGATTAGCTATTTTTCAGAAGCGACCTGGTCACAAATGATAGCGCAACGAAGTGCTTATCATGTGAAATTTTATAGCAGCGAAATAAAGAAACAAATGTTTCTAAAGTGGAGGGGAAACCCGGAGGACCCGGAGAAAAATACACACGACCACAGGGAGAGAGACAAGCAAACTCCAAATATACAGCAGGCGTCAGGGTTGGGATCGAACCCACGACCACTTGCATACCAAGCAAGGGAGATAACATTTCTCCACCGCGGTACTTTTCTCGCCACCTAGTTATGGGAGAAGTGGATTCAAGCCATACAATTTAAATTCCGTTTGCACATGAAGCCAACTGCTGAGGAGGCATTACACAAAATATCTTGAATATCCACAAGCGCCATGACCATAATCACCAACAGCACTACGAGATTGCTCAGTTGTTACAGCCATTTAACGAGCAACTGCTGAATGAAAACCTCCCAATTCCATATTGGTCACAGGGGTTGTTTGACCATAATTCAGCATGATGGGCAGTGCAGGTTAGAGAATGGTGGAGGATACCGCCCGCCACAAACGTGGCCGTGATCAGGAATTGAACTCGGATCACCGAGATCATAGCATAACACGCTGACCACAATGGAGACTGCAACCTTCAAGATGGCCAGCAAATGGCAGTATAGATATTTGTCATTACATATTATGTGTAGGTGTTCGCTCATAACTCTGCTTTCGGATGACACAAAAGACTAAAAAAACTGAGTTGGCTCGGTGGCTCAGGAATTGAGCTGGATTAATAAAAATCCCAACTGGTGTCAGATATCAGCCTCTTATTAAAATGAGGCATTACTTCAGCACCATGGTTCCTCCTAACTTTCTGACTGACCTGCCCCGACTGGACATCTGTGAAAAAAGAGCTTCATAGCACATCGGATTCCTCCAGGATAAATACAGATTCTGATTCTGATCCCTTCTCTGAGGAATTACTTGGCTCAAAACCCTCACGCTCGTCACTCAGAGCTTCACTTTGCCACTGACGATTCCCTCCTAGATTTGTCGCGTTACTGGCGTGTAGCTGCACGCTGCAAGGGCGCACGGATGCGCGCCAGGTTGAAGCCCTCCTGCAAGAGGTGCGTCTTGATCTGCTTGAATGTGTTCGTCAACTCCAATGCTTCCTGTGTGATAAGGGGTTCAGGGTGTGACATCTGGAATTGTAAATTAAATAGGAAAACACACTACGAGTAAACAAAATAATCATAGATAAATCCTGTTCCTGCTGGACATCTGTGAAAAGGAGTTTTGTAGCTCATCCTACATTCCTCCAGTATAAATAAATATTCTGATTATGATTTTGAAATTACAATAAAAAAGTGTAAACAAACTAAAGGATTCATATTCTTGGTTCTTTCGGTAAAGTCACATAGAAGGGAAACAATAAAACAATACAAATATAAAACAAAATTATCACGACGTTTCGACTGCAACACAAGCAATCATCATCAGGTGTAAAAACCACAGCAAGAAAATTTCTTGTGACTTTACCGAAAGAACCAAGAATATAAAGAAAACGTTCATAACATCACAAAATAGAAAATTATAGAAATGTATTCAGTGCCTATAAAACGTTTCTTAGCATGTGGTTACCCCCATGCATATTATATTGACTACATAATAATTGATAACCACATATATAATGCAAACATATTGTTCATTTGGTGAGGGCGATCCGATACATGTTACTTCAATAACTAGGGTATAAAATTAGATCAACGTTGATTAAGCTCGTGATATATGATTGCTGAGCACAGGCCCAGAGGCCCAACATGCAAAGCGGCCAGCAACACCCCACCCCGCATTATTGAAAGTAGACAGGTCATCGTTAATACATCTCTTGAATTGAGCAAAGTTATAAGAACTTGGGAAAATGGAAGGAAGTTCCAAAGTTGAGCAGTTGCGAGGGAATAAGAAGACAGATAAGTATTTTAAACTGCAGTGTGATGTGGATGAGACGAGTAGTCTGAATCGGAATATTTATTTATTCATACTGGAGGAATTCGTTGAGCTATACAGTTATTATATTCTTAGCTCTTTCGGTAAAGTCACGTTGAAGGGAAACAATAAAATAATAATATATATAAAACAATAAAATTCTCACGATGTTTCGACCATAACAAACGGTCATCATCAACTATACAGTTATTTTTCACAGATGTCCAGTAGGGGCAGGTAAGAACGTTACAACAACAATCGATACAAAAACACGATAGCAGTGCAAAGTACAAGAAAGGTAAAGAAATCAGCCTAAGACATACGAATACAACGAAACCATTCCCACCGTACCAGGTGAAGCCCACTGAGGTATTAATTAGTCAGGAAGACTGAGTCCCCAACATGGGAGCAGGAGGAATCACTGAGTGAAGTTCATGCGGCAGAAACCATGGTAGTAGCGATAGGAGAGTGGCGAGAAGGTGAGCAGGTGCTGAATCATTCATCAATCTGCTTTCCATTGAAGTTTTGTTTTAAAGTCGATCATTAGCTGCGCCACCAACTTGGGATGGTGACACCATACACTGTGACTTCCTTGATGAAGTCCAGGTCACTCAGAGTGTCTGCCAACTCCATGGTCGAGACATTCTCACCTTTCCACCTTATCGACAGAAACAAGAAATCATTCAGGGTATGCAAAAATAAATCCACACGAGTTCAAGCCAGTCGGGTATAGCGAGGTTGCTCGCAATGGCCTAGCTCTGATCACTGAGCTGGCATTGCCAAAATATCCACAACTGCATATACAGTGAGGGGAAAAAAGTATTTGATCCCCTGCTGATTGTGTACGTTTGCCCACTGACAAAGAAATGATCCGTCTATAATTTTAATGGTAGGTTTATTTGAACAGTGAGAGACAGAATAATAACAAAAAAATCCAGAAAAACGCATGTTATGAATTGATTTGTATTTTAATGAGGGAAAGAAGTATTTGACCGATCTGCAAAACATGACTTAGTACTTGGTGGCAAAACGCTTGTTGGCAATCACAGAGGTCAGACGTTTCTTGCAGTTGACCACCAGGTTTGCACACATCTCAGGAGGGATTTTGTCCCACTCCTCTTTGCAGATCTTCTCCCAAGTCATTAAGGTTTCGAGCCTGACGTTTGGCAACTCGAACCTTCAGGTCCCTCCACAGATTTTTATGGGATTAAGGTCTGGAGACTGTCTAGGCCACTCCAGGACCTTAATGTGCTTCCTCTTGAGCAACTCCTTTGCTGCCTTGGCCGTGTGTTTTGGGTTATTGTCATGCTGGAATACCCATCCACGACCCATTTTTAATTCCCTGGCTGAGGGAAGGAGGTTCTCGCCCAAGATTTGATGGTACATGGCCCCGTCCATCGTCCCTTTGATGCGGTAAAGTTGTCTTGTCCACTTCGCAGAAAAACACCTCCAAAGCATAATGTTTCCACCTCCATGTTTGACGGTGGGGATGGTGTTCTTGGGGTGATAGGCAGCATTCCTCCTCCTCCAAACACGGCGAGTTGAGTTGATGCCAAAGAGCTCCATTTTGGTTTCATCTGACCACAACACATTCACCCAGTTGTCCTCTGAATCATTCAGATGTTCATTGGCAAACTTCAGACGGGCATGTATATGTGCTTTCTTGAGCAGGGGGACCTTGCGGGCACTGCAGGATTTCAGTCCTTCACGGCATAGTGTGTTACCAATTGTTTTCTTGGTGACTATGGTCCCAGCTGCCTTGAGATCATTGACAAGATCGTCCCGTGTAGTTCTGGGCTGATTCCTCACCGTTCTCATCATCATTGCAACTCCACGAGGTGAGATCTTGCATGGAGCCCCAGGCCGAGGGAGATTGACTTCTTTTGTGTTTCTTCCATTTGCGAATAATCACACCAACTGTTGTCACCTTCTCACCAAGCTGCTTGGCAATGGTCTTGTAGCCCATTCCAGCCTTGTGTAGGTCTACAATCTTGTCCCTGACATCCTTAGAGAGCTCTTTGGTCTTGGCCATGGTGGAGAGTTTGGAATCTGATTGATTGCTTCTGTGGACAGGTGTCTTTTATACAGGTAACAAGCTGAGATTAGGAGCACTCCCTTTAAGAGTATGCTCCTAATCTCAACTCGTTACCTCTATAAAAGACACCTGGGAGCCAGAAATCTTTCTGATTGAGAGGGGGTCAAATACTTATTTCCCTTATTAAAATGCAAATCAATTTATAACATTTTTGACATGCGTTTTTCTGGATTTTCTTGTTGTTATTCTGTCTCTCACTGTTCAAATAAACCTACCATTAAAATTATAGACTGATAATTTCTTTGTCAGTAGGCAAACGTACAAAATCAGCAGGGGATCAAATACTTTATTCCCTCACTGTATGAACCATAACCAAAAGTAGGAATACACGACTTCCATTTGGGAGGAAACTAAAAACCATAGCTGTGATATGATGATGCTGATGATTGATGGGTGTCCTAAGTACGGCATAATAATTTATCTGGAGATAATCTAATAGAACACAATCGAGGAAGACCAGGGGAAACCACCTCTACACTTCTTTCTGGGATCCTCCAAAGCAGGAACAGAGGGGAAGCAGGAGGAAGATGGGACATCAGGAGCGTGAACTATGGACCTGTCTCTTAGGCGTTGAACTGAAGACAGAGAAAATGAAAATGAGAGCGACAATCACCTGAAAGTATCCCCAACCCTGTCGATGAAGTAGATGAAGCCCTCTTTGTCGATGCGCATGATGTCTCCCGAGTTGAAGTAGCGGTCCCCATGCATGAACACGTTGTGCAGAACCTTCCTCTGCGTGAACTCGGCATTCCCCAAGTAACCATCAAATGGCATGTGCTTCGAGATCGGGGCCACCAGGAGACCTGGCTGTCCTGCTCCACCAGCCCACATGCCGACAAATACAAAGATCCCCCATATACGCTGTAACAGACTTAGGGCAAGTACTGTTCGGAAGCAGCTATGAATGCAAATAATATTTTTGAATCTCCTCTTGGTGTGTCTGCCTTGTTATTGAGCTATGGTCGTCAGTGTCTGGTGCCCTCACCTCTGGGTAACGGGATGCAGAAGCCCTTGTCATCACGCACGGGTCCATCCTTTTCATGGTCATTCTTAACCAGAGCATACTTTATCAGGAGCTGAAACGAAGCAAAGCCACACGAACAATTTCAAGATCACTCATCTTTCCCTTGTAGTCCTCCCACACAAGGTATAGTTGTTACCTTTGACTGCTGGGGCAAAGGCTGTCTTGCAAATAATTATATAGGTCTATCTTTAATTTAAATCAGGAGACTTTAATTTTTGTGAATTTTAAGACACTGTAGATTTAAATTACTTTATTTGCTGCCTTACGGTTGTGATAGTTAACTTTCTGCAAATTGTACTTTGTATTGTATTTCTTCTTGATTTGCACTTCATGTCTTGCTAACAAAATAGATGTTTGTCTTTTGGTATGTATTCATTTGCATTCTTAATCATACAATATTCAACGTGCCAAAGTCCATCTTTGTAATATGCCTGTGGATTTGGCCAGTGCTTACCTATCGAACGTTGCTCATGATGATCCCAATTTGAACAAACCCTGGAGGGCCCCACTCAACAAGCTCCAAATGCCCAGCAACAGCTAAAGCAGCAGTTTCACCTCTCATGGTGATCAAGAGTGTTATGGGTCGATATTAACCAGGAAAAGAGATTATTTATGATACCGTGTTGGCACAAGTAACAAAAACTCAACACGTTTCTTAATAACGCTGCCTTAAAATTAAAATATATAAAATATTTGTGCTATAAAGAAGGGCCATTGCCTTACACATCACCTATTATATACTATTTCCTTTTTAGGTCAATAGTGTTGTTGATGAACGTGTTGAGTTTTTGTCAACATCGTCCCGAGACAGCACACCCAAAATACAGGCACACTCCCTAAGCTAACCTTGATCCAGGCAGTCTGCGAAGAAGGAGGTGTGGTAAGAAGCCAGGATTTGACAGCGGAATAACAACAATAACAACGGCTGAGAAATTACAACGCACACGCAGGAAGGGCAGGTCCCGGCCGCAGGCCCTGAGCTTTCCATCCACGTTGGCGAAGCCCACGTTGCCCTCGGTGGCGCCGTAGAGCTCGCAGAATCTCACGTCCCCGTGCCGCTCAAGAAAACGTGCCCACACGTCTGCTCACATTCCGTTCGGTCCAGCTCGTTCTTGACACGGCATGCGAGGGAGGCAGGGAGGGTTGGGAAAAGAATGTTCCTTGAGCGAAATTTATTTTCATAGCATCTATGGAGAGAACATGTTAGTGTGTGTGCCATCACTGACAATGCAGAAAATTGATAAGGTGGTGTACTATCAATGAGTAGGTATTTTGGCACTTGTGCTGCACTGTCTATTGCACCGATGTGTTTTCGGTGTTGTTACCGTGTGTCGTTGGGCATTGTCTGACATTTTGCTCCGCGTGCTTATGAGCTTCTTCACTGAATTCCTGAACTGAATTCATTGAAGTATGGTCAAACCCTCCCCACCACATGACCCGCATGCCATTGAGAAGCCCTCCTCATGCAGCAGTGCCTTGACAAAAAGGAAAAACTCCCCGAAAGCATAATGCTTTCACCTCCATGTGTGATGGTGGGGATGGTGTTCTTGGGGTCATAGGCAGCATTCCTCCTCCTCCAAACACGGCGAGTTGAGTTGATGCCAAATAGCTCCATTTTGGCCTCATCTGACCACAACACTTTCACCCAGTTGTCCTCTGAATCATTCAGATGTTCATTGGCAAACTTAAGACGGGCATGTATATGTGCTTTCTTGAGCAGGGGGACCTTGCGGGCACTGCAGGATTTCAGTCCTTCACGGCGTAGTGTGTTAGCAATTGTTTTCATGGTGACTATGGTCCTAGCTGCCTTGAGATCGTTGACAAGATCCTCCCGTGTAGTTCTGTCCTGATTCCTCACCGTTCTCATGATCATTGCAACTCCATGAGGTGAGATCTTGCATGGAGCCCCAGACCGAGGGAGATTGACAGTTCTTTTGTGTTTCTTCCATTTGCGAATAATCACACCAACTGGTGTCACCTTCTCACCAAGCTGCTTGGCAATGATCTTGTAGCCCATTCCAGCCTTGTGTAGGTCTACAATCTTGTCCCTGACATCCTTGGAGAGCTCTTTGGTCTTGGCCATGGTGGAGACTTTGGAATCTGATTGATTGATTGCTTCTGTGGACAGGTGCCTTTTATACAGGTAACGAGCTGAGATTAGGAGCACGCTCTTAAAGGGAGTGCTCCTAATCTCAGCTTGTTACCTGTATAAAAGACACCTGGGAGCCAGAAATCTTTCTGATTGAGAGGGGGTCAAATTCTTATTTCCCTCATTGAAATGCAAATCAATTTATAACATTTTTGACATGCGTTTTTCTGGATTTTTTTGTTATTCTGTCTCTCACTGTTCAAATAAACCTACCATTAAAATTATAGACTGATAATTTCTTTGTCAGTGGGCAAACATACAAAATCGGCAGGGGATCAAATACTTTTTTCCCTCACTGTATATGGTCCTTATTTTGAGGGCCCATCACCCGCAATTGCTTGATCAATTGTTGATCGGTAACGAGGCAGCACTTGGCACCTTGGGCTGGTTGAGGAGGTAGCGGCAGATCTCGCCGACGTACTGGAACATGGTGACGCCGTGCCGGCGGCAGTCTCCCCAAAAGTGACTCGAGGAGAACTTCCTCCGCAGAACCAAGTGCGCACCTGCAGTCAGGGGGATGAGACGACGAGACAACACGAGGGGTGGGGGTGGGGAGAATGGGATCAGTGCTGGTGGCAGTTTAACACGTGGTAGGCTTTCGCGACCAATATCATCCATAAGGTTTTTTTTGTGTTAGATCGCGTAAATATACAAATGTGTCTTTAAAACCCACCACCACCCGACACAGCCAACGAGTAATGGTTGTCACGTAAACAGAACATGCCAATTCGTCACTAGTACAGCACACCGGTTTGTTGGAGAGCCAAGCCACAACATTTACAATCTGAGTACGATGCTTCGCCAGTAATTACAACTATATAGAGGCATAGATGTGGTGACCACACTTCTGCGCTCTTGCGAGGTCAGGTATCATATGACCTCAGTCAACCCACGGCACCTGGGTCTGTCCCGTGACCTCTTGCCAGCGAGCCTTCGACACGTGGCTTCAAAGTGCACCTGGCCTGGAATAAACGCCGTAATGTCACCGCCACTTCGTTGCAAATTGCGAATGCTGTTGTGTGTCTGGTGTCATCCCATAACCCGAATGCAAACTCTAGACCTTGTCCTAATCTTAACCCAACCCAAGCTGTAACCCTGTGCTCACCCTCATATAAACCCATGTTAAAACCCTATTCATACCCGATTCCTCACCTCAACCCAAAGCCTCAGGTTAATCCTATTCGTTATACCCTACATTCGTGGTTCCCACCCTGTGGTCCGAACAGGCTGTGGGAAGTGGTCCACGGAACTGCTCGATTTTTTTCCTACTTCACAAAGCACCGTTTTTTTCTTTTTTACTGGCCACTGTACAACTATTTCGATTGTATCGCGACTCGTACACACAAATTGGCGATTGACTGAATCTGCTCATTTGCTGGCATTGGTTTACTGACGTTATAACACCTCATATTATCACGGTTGGCTACGTACCATGCGAAATAAGTTCAACATACATGCATATTTGCATGGTGGTCCACCAAACTAACCCCAGCACAGAATCATATTCTTACCCTCTCAAAACCAGGGCAAAGATCCCCCGTGTGGCCTTTAACAGACTGTTGGGGCAAGTGCTGTTAGCGAGCACCTATAAAGGCTGGCACTTGTGGCACACGAGGGGGTGTGGTTGCTATTGCCAATAAACTGCAACTTGAATCACTACCTATGAGATCTTCACTCAAAACTGCTCTAGAGGAGTTGTACACCCCTAGCTGCCACTGCCATTCAGTGGCCTAAAATAAAATTAAATGTTTCGCTCTGGATGACCGCTGCAAAGTATTGTCTGTATTTGATTAGTGTGCTAATCTTGAAGATGCTCCTGTTGTTGTGGAGTGACTCATGCAGCCAGCTATGGCTCTAGGGTTTGGTGTTACATGTTATTTAAGTAGTTTATTGTTAAAAATTCGGTCACAGTCCCTATGATCACTGTTACATTGCATTTATGGCTTTATTTTGGTGATTTCAAATAGTTTTTTGGTTTGGCCATGTTTGTTTGTTGTAGTACGGAGTTAGACTGATGGCCTTAATCTAAGTTGTCTTGTGGTTGTTGTTGTTGTTTGACTTGCATCCCACTGGGATTTTTGCACACAGCGTTGGTGTACGGTGCTTTTCAGGAATATTTTGCTGTTTTTTCCTGGATTTTCTGTTTGCACAGTCACATAGTCACTTTAAGATGTTTTCTTGTTCATGTTTTTGTTTGTTGCGGTTGCACCCGATTCAAGAGCCGAATGGCTCACAGGGCTATACCAAATAAATGAAACTGAAAAACTATTTGTAAGCGACAGGAAAAACTGATCAAAACGATGCTGCTAATCATGTCACGTTTTTTGTCGACTATGGATTACTTGATAGATAAAGTTGTTTATATATAGATATCATGTTACATCTGGAAGACTTAATTGAAAACGACATTTCGTGTGAATTTTCTCTCGTCGTTAAGTAGATGGCCTTGCTGGGGGTTCGATTCGATGCGAACTTTCACCTATATTCTTGGTTCTTTCGGTAAAGTCACGTAGAAGGGAAACACGTGACTTTACCGAAAGAACCAAGAATATAGGTGAAAGTTCGCATCGAATCAAACCCCCAGTAAGGACATCTACTTTGCTTATTCGTATTTGGTTTGAATAAAACCCGTGCCAATGATGATGATTGCTTGTGTTGCAGTCGAAACGTCGTGAGAATATTATTGTTTTATATTTTTATTACTTTATTGTTTCCCTTCTACGTGACTTTACCGAAAGAAACAAGAATATGAATCCCTGCAGTCACGAAAGCTTTAAATCAAAATTGAACTTTCACCTGTTTGGGATTGCGGGATCGAGACAAGGCGATATCCAGCTACTGGCCGTGCGAGAAGACCGCCGTCTGCAGATCGATTCCAACGGAATCGAACGTCTTGTCCCTGCGCCTCCGTCGTTCATGCACGGGGCGCGTAGGTTTGCAGCGCCCCCTGCATGAAAACGACGGGAAGTGCAGCCTTCATCATATTCATCACAGGTACAGTTGGGCGTTTATATTCTTAATGCCCAATACTGAACAAGGCTATGGTACTCGAGTTATCGCTATTTAACATACGTATAAGTGACTTGCCGTGTACGTCATCTCGCAAATGTATATACGAAGACGACATAGCCCTTGTTGCAAAGGGCGTGCACCTCAAAAAACATTGCGAATACTGCACTAACAACTTCTATTGGAGGCATATTTCCGTCCGTCGAAGGGGCACGTTTGTAGGTCATGTTCTACTATTACTACTACATTGTTCATGGTATTCGTACGTTGTGAATAAACTAATTTAATTAGTTTTGTCAACGAAATCTCCATCGCCGCTGCACGATCATCACCCACCTCATTCATCCTTAAAGTGCGCCCCCTATCGTCCACAGAACATAATAGCTCTAAATCAGTGTTCTTGAACCTCACTACGCCATCAAATCTCACTTCGCTTTAAGCCCATCTTCAATTCACAATCAAAATCTTTATTTAGACTTAAGGAATCCGATGACATACGGAGCTCTTTTTCACAGATTTCCAGTATGGGCAGAACAGTAAGTTTTAATTTGCTTACCCAATGACCCTTTATGGCTAGCTTACTAACTGTAGTGTAGTATCAGAATGTACGTCCTATTGTGTTTACAACAGGTGTACAGAGGCAGGCGGGATGTAAGAAATCTATCCATTATTTTAACTGGCACGTTGGGGAAGATCGAATTGGTGACCTTTGGATTACAAGTCAAGTGTGCTCACCATTAACACCGTGGCAACATCATTTCTAATGGTACACAAAACTAATTTAGACATATATAGCGTCTTAATACTCTGAGCATTTCTTTGGAGCTGTACAGAAACAACTTTGAATAAACTATAATGGAGTGTATATTAAATTACAGAGACTAGCCAGAGTGGCATAAAATGAAAAAGGGTTCAAATGGAATACACGTCAAAACCAAAATATGCCATCTGGCCAGATATATACAACTAGCCTTTTGCCCGTCCAAGAACATGTGTATTGCAGTAAATCTGAAAACTTGCAAGCGAAAAGCAGACCGCGACGTGATATTCATTGCATTAATGGGTGTGCAATTTGTAAGGGTGCGGTGACACAGACCTATTTAATTTTACGGTTATAATCCCTTGTTCATCATGAGGTCCTTTTTACTTCGATGTCTCAAGTGTTACGGAGATCGCGTGACGTGAGGGTTCTGTCTTTGTAGTGAGGGTTGTAAATTTACGCCGAGGGGGGAGGAGGTGCCTCGGCTCCCCATGTCGAGTGATGTCAGCCACTAATTATTATTAATGGGGGAGGGTGCTCCATGTGGAGTGACGTCACCTGCTCATCATTATTAATGAGGGGGGCTGTTCGATTTGGAATGACATCACCTGCTCATGATTATTAATGAGGGGACATGGTCGATGTGGCGTGACGTCACGAGCGTTAAGGACAGACATTCCTGGGTGATTATAGTAGGTATACTTTCATTGACAGCCTTGCGTAGATGTCATATTCCTTTATCAGGAGTAAGTCAGAGTTGTTCACCTCGTTAGACAAAATAAACTAATGAGTCCTATACAAAACCGCAGTTGACTTCTCGCCGAGTGATTTATGATTTATCGACACCAGATGATGGGCCGAGTTAAACCCCCGACCGGGATTGATTTAGAATCACGTTACAATTCGGAGTTAAGTGCTTTAACTGACTAAATCATCACTCATCAGATTAAAGTTATTCCACTAAACCTCTCCTACACACCTGATGATGACTGCTTGTGTTGCAGTCGAAACGTGAGAATTTAAATGTTTTATTTTTTTATTATTTTATTGTTTCCCTTCAACGTGACTTTACCGAAAGAACCAAGAATATATATACTCTCCTACACACTTTGACCTGGGTCTAATCACACTGTGTGGACCCCCCGACTAAAGCTAAACTATATTTATTTTACCAGGTAAGGCCCATTGAGCTATAAAACTCTTTATTAGAAGCGACCTGGTCACAAATGATAGCTCAATGACGTGGCTTATCACGTAGAAATTTATAGCAGCCAAATACTCTAAACGCATGATTCTACATCTAACACACTAACATTGAAGCATGGGGCCCCTAAAGGCACAGGGCCCAGGGCAGTCGCCCCGATTCGTTGTACCCTAGCGACGGCTCTGCTGGGAAACTTGAGAAAGAGTTGATTTTATTCCTAAAACTGCAGCCATGAGCCACCATAGACCATACTTCAGTGACAATGTGTGGAAGGTGAATTGTGTTGTCATGTGTTACAGGGCGTTGAACTTGCCAGGTATTTTAAAAGACTCGTCATAGATGACCCCCGGTTTGAGATTCCAGTGAAGAGAAACCTGGGACTCGTCGTGTTTCGCCTCCAGGTGAGTTGCAACATCCATGCTTCTCTCATTAAGGTGTTGGCCCCTCCAAATGCAG